ATAAACATTTTCACTGAAAGATTGTGGATAGTTCATTAATAACACCATCTCTCTTCATCATAATGCTCAATCGGTACACTGCACCGGAATACACCAAACGCTTTCTACCAAATACGAAACAAAACAATCATCCGACATTTACGTTCGTCGTTAAACAATATCATAATGTATGAAATATATTTCCTATAAGCACCTGACATGTTTACAAAAGTTTATTCAAACCCAAATTAATTAAACAAGACCAAAATATAAATAAATTATGAGCATTATGATAGTTCAAAACGTGTTAGGAAAAGACCATGTTACCCGGAATGGAAAGCTTCTTATTCTTCAATGACGACTTCTGCAATGTAAATATTCGTCAATGCAAGTAACAATGTTAACAATAACAAAAACAAAAATCATGGTTACAATAATTAGCTTCTCCGAAAACTTTATCAACCTGTATATCGGAATGTCAGCTGTCGTTCTGGGACTTGTGATATTGGGATGATGACGACAAGTGAGCAAACATGTATGGTTAAACGTCTCATTTCCTTATAGTTTTAACATGATTTTTGTGATAGCGGTTATACGTATGCTTCATAAATGAAAGAATGACATATTTCATAAGTTAATAATATTTTCATGAGTGCGAATGAAACATGCATGATATCCAACGGTTTTCCATTTGATTTCTTTATTCGTATATTTTAAGGGGAAAAAAGACCGAAAAAACATTATCTTTATTTTTGGCGTCACATAATTATGTAAAAAAAATCCTACTACTTTGTACTGATATCGGCAAAAAATCGCTGCCAGATTGTAATAAGAAAAAAAAATAAACTCGCTGTGTTCAAAGATTCAGTCAAAGATCCACTTATTGTACCTTCCCTTCATTTGGCGAATATTTTAATACACATTGAATGGAAAGCACTGTTCTGACTGCTTTCAACAAAAAACAAAACATCATCATTCTATATCGATACGGTGAGATCATTTTTATCGAATTGATACTTTCTTATATATAACGGGTAAAATATAATAAAATGAGTTGTTTTATCACACCATTATGTACCATCAACTTTTAAATAAGAAAAGAAGACAGATAATTAAATGATTGATTGTAAATACTAGATTTAAACGTTGTATAATGCTATTAATCAGGGTTTTCAGTGCCTCTGTAAATTAATTATTTTGAATTATGGTCAGAATTAAGGGTATGGACGGACAAAATATTTAGTTTTGCCTCTTGTCTACGTTCTGAAGTTACACCACAGCATTGATATTGATGAGGCCAAAATTTCAAAAAATTCAGCAGTTTAGGTAAAAGCATATACTGGCTTTCATAGTTGGTTGGAACGACCATTTCGGTACAGAAGTAGCCAATGGGAGGATCGGCAGAATGCCTCTAGTCCATTAAGACTAAATAATGTTCTGATATCTACACATATGATTTATTTCTTTGAGTCGTATGTAAAATAAAGCATGCACTATGATTAATAAATAATGAAAGGATTTTGTGGCCATCACCTCAATTTTTATGATCATATTCGAACACAGACATTTTACAATATTCCTCGAGAACATATTCTGTTTATTATTCTTATTGTCAATAGCATGTAACTGCGTGTAACAAATGAAGGAAAACATTGTAAACAATAGCAAAGCGATTAGCATTAGCGAGACAATGTTTACGAAACAAAGATGTTCTCTCTTTAATACAAATTAGTACCATGGTAGCACAACTTTTTATGTAACGATTTGCTTGGTAAATGGAACCCAGGAATACAAATTCATTGAAGACAGTCATGCAAATAAAATCACAAGGCATTCACTCACAAAGATTTCTGTGAATCGGTCGAAAATTTTCAAAATTGAAACCACAAGTATAAACATGGCCTTTAAAACTACAGAAAATACCAACATATGAACAGAATTCTTATCAATACTCAACTTCAACACAACAATGATAAAAAATGAACGAAAGAAAGAAACATAAACACGTAAAAAGCAAAAGGAGAGTCAGTTCATGTATTCCGGAAGAGTAAGTATTTTCTACTTCATTGATGTCACTCGCCATGTAAATCTGGGTCAATCCGAGTGAGTAATGCTATGATCTCAAATGAGAATAAGATATACATTATATATGGTAATACCAGAATATTATTGGATTTGTATCTCTTTTTCTGTAAATATCAATTAACTGTTAACATGGCCAACAGTGTGAGTTTAACGTCACATGAACTTGTCGGTATCTTTAGATGAGATATAGTCAACATGCAAAAGCAAGTATCATGTTGTCAAAATTGGAGATCTAAATGATTTGTCTCAATTGACATCTCTGATCACTGGAAATAGTTGTCTGTCGTACATAAATGTTGTTTACGTAAAACTACTGACGTCCATACATGCGATAAGTCACAGCAAACGTGAAATGTAGACGATACTCAGCGGGAAACCATTGGACAGAAAAAGGAAATCAAATGTTAAAACACATGTATGTTCAGCGAACAAAAGGCTTGGAGAAATTTTAATACAGTGAATAGATGTATTTTTATTAAACATAACTCATATACGTTCAGTTGCTAAAGATATATCATACAACAAGTAATAAAAGGTTTCATCACCAACACTCTTCACATTTCACTAGAAGATATGATAAAAGGATGGTCAGATATACTCAGAAAAGTAATATCCAAAAATGATGGTGGAAACAGAAAGCATCAAGATTGATATTACTATTTAACTATCGCATTTTAAGACTCTAGAACTTGTAGCGACGTATAGAAGTTCTGATGAAATTAGAATATTAGTATTTACTAATAAGGCCTAGAATGGGACAATATGCAAATCGGACGTACGTCAAGAACGGCACGGCATTACGTACTAAATATTTGTTCTTCATATTTTTTTTTATGAATGAGTGGTAATTGCGAACACGAACCGAACTTTCTTTTTCTTTTTTTTCTTTTTTTCCCTTTAAATGATAAATCCTAAGATAAATTGACGGTGGCCTTCTCTAAAATCTGTCTGGTTAAAATTACTGATTTATCGATACAGACGGTGTCATATCTGAAATCGTTCTCGACCGTGTCTGAAATATAATCAAAAGAGTATGAGAAATTTAATTAGGCATTACATCAGTACTACATACAAGTCGAATAATGCAAAACAAAACAAAAACATTTCAAACATATATACAAATATCTATAGAGCATTTTTAAAAGACAATGGGAAACTGATGTCGTAATGAAGTAAATGTTAAACTGTATATTACTTTCACCATAGGTATTACTCAATTTTGTTCAATAAATGTATCGGATGAAGATAAATTATTTCACTACGATGGTTGGGTAAATCACTGGATCTTGATTGTAAGTGGAAGTAAAAACTTAACACCACGTAATGCCAGGAATGTCTGGTACATCAGTCCGTCTGAATTCATTGTTGTTAAAATGAATGTTCTCATTGTCTCCCGTTTAACAAATGAGTAAACCATCAATTATTATCTGCTAGTGTCAGGTGATTACTCTTTAAATTACGTGTCTTTAATGCAGTGCGACAAAAATAACTTTCCTCAAGAGCCTTTTATTAGAAATATTATCAACAGTATACGAAGCCAGCACTGAATTTCTTGCTGGTGAAAACGCATTCAAACTAGATATTTTTACGTACCAGTTTATATTAATTGGGATATATGTTGTTTATTCCTTATAATCATTAAATTTGTAATCATTTAGGTCATATTAATGGACATGTTCGTCATCTGTGACATGTTAGAAATTCATTGTTTAAGGACTTCCGCTTGTGCTGAATGCAAACTAATGTATATGTCTGACAAAAAGCCATTTTTTATTTGAAGGTTCATATATTACCAGTAACACGCGTTCTTTTCTGATTCCGTGTTGTCTCCTGTGCCCGGTAGGGCGGGTTACTGCAAACTCATGCCTTCATATATGCCAACAGTCACGTGTGACCTGTTTGGAAATTTGCCGGTCTTCACCAAATCCAATATCATACGCTGACCAGTGTTTAACGAAGGAGAGTTTCTGTAAAATCAATTGTAGTAACCCATAGGCATTGGGTTAGTCGGTATCAAAATACGACAGAGAGTGTGGTGAAGTTGGCAATCAAAACATGACGATGTATGATTGGGATCATTTAATTAGATTAGGTTTTTACATACATGTATGTATTCATCAGAGAATTATATCACTCAACATGTTATGTACTTAGACTCAGAATGTGTACTGACCCGAGATTTAGCTTTTCTGAGTTGTAGTGTTCTTTACAACGTACGGTTTATCTCACTATGTTTCTGTTCTAAGTGCTCGGGTCCTCGATTTTGCGCCAATGCAATTTAAATTTTGGTTTCACTTTTTATTTTTTATTTCAGCAGCCAAATTCAAACAATTCGTAGAAGTTGATTTTTTATATAAACGCAATATGAATTGCACTTTGAGAAAGAGACGTAAGGTTCGCTAAACACAGAAAGATGTTGTGTTGTCAATCATTACGGTAAATATAACCAAAATTGAAATCACATTATACAGGTGAAGTCATTGTCCAATTATGTCTCGAACATCGAGATAACAACACCAAGTTTGCAAATAAAGGACATTTTCCGACCGCGTTTTCTGCATTTTAAACTCCTCATTTATAGAACCATCATCACAACCGAAATTCAATTCGCCAGTGTAAAGGGATAAAGGTTAATTGAAAACATAATTCAAAAGAATTATCATCTTTATTCAATCACAGTAATCAATAACGTGAATAACGCAGACATGTGTTGTCTATGAGTTTGTACATAGTACGATCATCATTTCTTAAAGCATTAAAAAATAGACTAGCTGATTTCTAATCAGGTTAAAATTGGTGTCGATTTGTGCTACATTGCAGGTAGGGGAGGATTGAAAATGCTTAAGCACTTTTGAATTGTCATCCAAAAGCAAAAGCAAGAAATCGGCCTGGAATCTACGTAGAGGATCTCGTACAAATTGTCGGTGACATGATGACTATGGATTAGAAGAGCACGTGTCTGTTGTTGGTCGTTCGTAAAAGCTTTTTCTCTGAGGTGGGTGGAAGTCATGAAACTGCCACTGTAATTATATAAAGGAATATCACCAAAGTCAAAAATGATAGCAACAACACTCATAATATCGATAACATTTTCTAATGAAAAGTCTGTATGACTTCACTTATTGATTGCTATCAATTGATTTGTTATAAAACATAAGTGAATGACTGGTATAATCAGGTCATATTTGCATCTTTTTAAAGCTTCATATGACTGAGAAAAAATGTCAGTTCAACACTCTTTTTTAATTAATATAATAGAATGTTTATGTCCCTTAATACATAAAAATACATTCCCTTATCTAATATCAATATTTATCTAATAAATTATTTTTATACCACCCCTCCAGCTCCCATACCATCCTCTCCCATTTTCCCAAAAAGTTTCTCAGCATTTTGTATCTTGAATTAAAATGAAGATAATCTAAACCAAATTACATTTAAGTTCCATCCCTGTCTAGCTAAAGGCATAATTACGTAACCTACCCCGCCTTCGAGGAAGTTCCCAAAAGAGGAATGGCGATACAGAGTTTCATCCATGACGTCATCAAACTTCCGGCGAAATTCAGGATTGGACCAGTCCCATTTGTACATTTCCTCTTGGGCCAGGTGAGTGTCGTTATTGACAGTTTGGTACAAGGGCATACTCCAACATGCCTCCACATCCACCCGTGGATAGTACAACAGAAGGGACAAACACATCTCCTCGTACGTAGAAAGGCCTCCCTGGTTCAAGAGCATTTAAACTTAATCTAGTATCTTGTTACTTTTGTCCTATAAACAGCGTCATTTAAGTACGTGGTAAGTTTGAGTGGTGAGGGAAATCGGCGTTCTCGGAGAAAAACTTCCCACCAGTGGTCAGTACTTCGAACCCGCGATTGTGGAAGGCTAGTAATTTGGCTGGTCAAACGCCTTAGCCACTCTTCCATCGCGACATCTAAAATGATCTTGATATCTGTATATACTTGGGGTATGGGTTAGAAATTAATTATATGTATAAGGTACTCAACAATTGAAGGGAATGCAACAAAATGTGGGACACTTGATCAAGTGACTCTGATAACTTTACATAAGAAACGAAAAAAGGAAGTCTGTAGTTTAATTTCAGATATCTGTACAGGTATGCTTCATTTTATTATTGTTTTTAGCATTGTTAATTCTTGTTACCAACATTAGCGATATAAATGACGGACTGTCGAAACTTTACATTTCTTTTCTATCTTAATAATTATATTAACAATTAGAGACGAAGACAGTATGTATACTTAAAAGAGAAGATTGTTATCTTACTTGAGTTTATATTGGAAAAATTACAATCGCAGTCTGCGAGAATAACACCTCATGAAGTAGGAATGTACTCAATATAGATTCAGAATAAGAACATAGTAACAAAAACTATATCGAAAAACTCTGGCAGTTCATATTGGCATGACAGTACGCTATCATAAAAACTCTGGCAGTTCACTTTGACATGACAGTACGCTATCATAAAAAAACTCTGGCAGTTCATATTGGCATGACAGTACGATATCATAAAAACTCTGGCAGTTCATATTGGCATGACAGTACGCTATCATAAAAACTCTGGCAGTTCATATTGGCATGACAGTACGCTATCATAAAAAACTCTGGCAGTTCACTTTGACATGACAGTACGCTATCATAAAAATTCTGGCAGTTCACTTTGACATGACAGTACGCTATCATAAAAACTCTGGCAGTTCACTTTGACATGACAGTACGCTATCATAAAAACTCTGGCAGTTCATATTGACATGACAGTACGCTATCATAAAAACTCTGGCAGTTCATATTGGCATTACAGTACGCTATCATAAAAACTCTGGCAGTTCATATTTGCATGACAGTACGCTATCATAACTTCTTTATCACTACTGGATATTGATAAGTAACATATATGTTAAAGTATAATTTGATAATGTGACGAATCGAGACAGACAAATACTACTATAACACAAATCTGCATTTACAGTGTCCAGTTGTGAAAAAAAATTATGATAGCTTGTCATAAACTACAGGAGTGGTGAACAGGTATATTATAGAATTAAAGGTACAGTCAATATCAGAGGTAAGAAGTTGGCATGCTTTAGTCGATGAACAACCCTCTATGCAAAAATCAATACAATGAAATGACTGCAATTATTGTGCTGAATATATGCTTTGAAATACCTACCAGGGTAAGAGATGTTCGCGATGTGGAGTCATAATCACAGTTCACCTCTATACTGTCGCCCTATAGAAAACATTTTATAAATTATCAAATGTATTAAGTTTTCTCTAGACAAAATAAAGAAGTATTCATTCTAATCAATTAATCGATCACGATGATTTGATACAGAATAGCAAACCTTTCAATACATAAACATTTTATCCATTAATTCCCAATACAATCATATATCAAATGTATATTTCACTATTACGAATATACGTTTTACTACTAACAAATTTATCATATTTGTATATGATATTGATATTATTTCCCCTTAAGATATATTTGAATCAATAAACTTGAAAAAAGATATTGTATTTTTATGATAAATGATGATAAACATGCAACCTTTTTGAGTATACGTTCACGTTTGAGGTAGTGAAATTCTTGAAAGTTGAAATCGTAGTAGTTGTCATCAGCGAAAGGTTCGATCTCTGAGCCATTCCTAAAAACTCGTGTACTGAATTTTTTTGCTAACAAATGGGAATGCTGCAATACCGCAAATACGTTAACGCCTTCTTCTGGAACACCCTGAAATAACCACAAAGATGATTCACCTCAGTCTGTCAAAGTCATAGATAAGATACCTCTCGAATAATTTTGTTGCCTTTATCACATTCGTATATATCTTTTAAAGTCTGCCTTTATAATCAAGGGAGACAACCAACACAGATATTTTGTATTAGGGGAAATAAAAAATTCATTGTAGCTTTCGCATTGATCGATAAGGGTTAACCGTAAAAACATAAAATTAGAACACAGAAAGCATACCAAATAAGACTGCTAAGCAACACTTCATCAAACATTGTCGACTAAGGAAAAAGGTCGATGACATAAGAAAACCATATACGAAAGATCATCTAGAAAAAGTCGTTACATTCAATGATACAAAAATGTACTGTAAAAACTATAAAGACAACGATAAAACAGCGCGATTGAAGTCATACCCTTGCGAGATCATACTCGGAACAGTACGCTTTTGAGATAAAACTGTTCTCGTGTGGTGGAATGATTTGCGAAGGGTCAACAAAGAAACCTGCAATGAGCAATCCGGCATCGTACTTGCGAACCTCCGGAGTGTAGGTTATCCTGATGCCGGACGAATCCACGATTCCTAACAAAGGAAATTCATTGTACAGCACATTGTTCATGCAGGCTTTTTGTAGCTGATAATGCCGGAATTCATAAATATGTGACAGTTATTTGATTTATTTAACTTAGTTGATATAATAGAATCTTTTCTGACATAGATAAACACCAGATATTATTTAAAACGGTTCAAATGTACCAAGACGTAGTTGAAATGTTCTTGCATATGTCTGACAGTAAACAACGTAACAAGTTCAATGCCGCAGGAGAGTTAGGTTCCTGATGCAAATGTTGCCTCATTTTCCAAAAGCATGCCCGATTGGAGACAAATTTGATAACACTGCAGGCCAAGACAGCGTGGCGACGTTCTGCAGCGCCGCCTCATGTATAGTAGGATGTCGTGCGTTGACCTGCTGAAAAAATGGCTAGCGGCTATTACAAATTAGTGGAAGTACGTGACGTAACTCAAGCCATACGACGCTAACAACAAGCAGCGGTAAGGGGTAGACATACAAAAGGGTGACGTGCCCGTAGACCATCTTCTCGCAATCGTTTTCTTACAGTTTTTGCGTGGATAGGACATTTATGAGTACCTAAGATATGAAGGCAGATTCAGTGGCAGGAAAGTGCTGACTGCGAGAATAAACCTGTCCTGACGTTGTGACATCACCCGCGGACGAATAAATTTAGGTCTATCAACAACTCTTTTTTCTCATTTTCCCTTAACAAGACATTCTGTAGTGCAAATATGTATTTGTCTTTGACCTTACACAATCATCGCAATGGCCTGACATCGAGTTCGTGTGTTGAAAATGTTCACCCATCACTGTATTGCAAATTATTCTGAGATATTTAAGTGTCAAGCATGCTTACAGGACGAAAACGTTCATTTTCGCCCCGACATGACATGAACACAATGATTTTCTGATAAAGGGCATAGAATATTACCAATAAACATAATTTTGGATTATTATCTCTATGCGTTGTATAGGTTTTAAACTCGTACAAACATGCGCTGACAATTAAAGAAAAAACATCATCTTTCGAACAAGCACTTCATTTTTTCTGAATATTTCTAGTATGCAGCTTCTTTTTACTGATAGTATATAAATGTTCTACTGAATTATACCATTGAGGTAATACAACTCTGCCAAAACTGCTCTCGTCTTTTGTTTATGTGACGTACCCGATATGTTGGCTTGGTTGTTGTAATGCGTCTCCAAAATAAAGAAACGGGGGTCTTTATCCGTTCCAAGGGACACTCCAACATCGGGCGGGTAATAAAATGCCTGTAGACAAAATATCCGATAAAAGCACATAGATAATTATAGATATCATGAAGGATCGGGATAGATACAACGTCACGACAATTGCAATGAAAGTCTTATGGAAGACAGCTCAAAAGTAAACAAAATCATATTTCATTAAAGAAGTAATCGAATACCATATTCTGTGCTGCCTTATTATCCTCAGCCTCGTTCGTATTTTGTCTCTTGCTCCGTATGCATCCGTACTTTACATTATCAGATATTTTTCCAAAGAAAAGGATCCTGATATGCAGTTTTCAGTATATTCGTTATATGTAAATTTTCTGTTGAAAGGGGAAATGCACAATGAAAATTATCTTACACCTCCTCCAATTTCCCAGGAAGCAAATACAGCTCTGCAGTTGACGAACTCCGCGGGAGCATTTTCATAACACATGTAAGTGGTATTTGCCATTGAAGGAGAGATATTCGCGCAGTGGTACAACAACATGTGATGGACAAATGGCGTGTGTCCCTCCTGGATGTTCCCCTCCACCTACAAGAGACGGTTTCCATTCGACCGTTCGCTAGAATAACTTATACAATTTTAATTATTATCTTCAATATTATAAGATAAATATTCTAAAGATAAAAATATAAAATGTTGTTAACATGACCTGGTGATATATTGTCCTTAAAATTTTTCACTGTCTATTCAAACAATAAAGCGATGAATGAATGGAATAATAATTAATGTAGTTGCAACTGACCCATAAAACCTTGATATTCATAAATAAACAAGAAAATATCATGTCGACATAATTATAACCAAAAGTCAAATCACTAAAAGAAAGGGCAAACAATATGCAAAAGACAGATCTATACGGGGACTCCTGAAAAGGTACAAAGAGAATAAGGACATGTGTTCTGGAAGAGTAAGCATCTTCTGCTTCATCGACGACACCTTCCAAGAGAGTAATGTCACGTTCTAAGATAAGAACAAGGTATGCCAGTCATACTTACGAGCATCAGATACGCATAGCTTGATATAGTACAAAGAGAGTATTTCTCGATGAGGTCACTATGACTCTCATAAAATTTCCTTCAGAATTGTCATCAATCTGCATCTATTATATGTATTGATATTTTCATGTGTATTTCAGTGTAAGCATGTTTGAAGTAACAGTCAAATGTACACAGTTGTAATTATAGGTTTATAAACTTAGCTGACAATACCTTTACTACATGATGTTTCTTGCCGAGGTCAGGGAAGTCGAATGCTGTACATCTGTATGTGGTGGGTTTAGGAGGGATAAGATACTGTAAAGAATTCAAAGACACTAATATATATATAATATAATCGACCTCCTATATCGACTAAGACCGATCAAAACTTACCGAGTTTCAAACAATATACAGCATTGGTAACATTTAAAAAGCAAATGCAATGGACAGTGGACGTAATGCAGAGATAAATGATGCATGCAATCTTAACTTTGTTCCGGTTTTATATCACATTATAAACTACAAATCAAACTACTACCGGTCGAAACCTACTTAAATTTTCGCAATCGTATTATCGTGCACTTTCATTTTTGATAAATTAACGCAACGATGAAATTGCTCTTCCACAATAACTACTATATAAACATCATACAGAAACTGCATATCTAATGCGATACGATCAGTGCTGAAAGATTAATACCTGACTGGTGTGTTAACTAGTTTTATGAACAAACACTCAAAGGTAAATTATTTTAGAACATCCTATCTTTAATCTAAGCTTTAAGATGGATATAGACAATAAATTATAAGTATTTACATGGTTAGGAAACACATGTTATTCGTATTATTTATGATAATAACAATCAAAACACTTTCAATATCAGTTATTTGAAGTTATATAAAAAAAAGTTTTTCGGTAAATATCGTACGAATGTATCTCAGCTTACATGTTGGTTGAGAAAATCATGTGTTATGACGTTCGCTGGCATACCAGATGCCTCTTCCGATAAAGTTGTAGCCAAAAGCATGAGACTCTTGGTACCCCGACGAGATGCTCCATGCCAAGGAAGTGACGCCATTGATACAGGGTCGTCCGGATGATAGGAAAATATAAGCTTGATAGTATCGTCCTGTAACAAATGATATTTGCGTCTGTTGAAAAACAGAAATGTGTTTCAAAGCTTAATGATACTTTCTTTTAATACGGGTTTCTTAAAACAGGTAAATATTCTAAGTCATCTGAAATAATTGTATGAAGACACAAGTCATTCTGCCTGAATGTTATACATTTTCATTTTGTACACAAAAGGAGTTGTGACTAAACATTATTTGTTAAGGATACAAGATATGGTTCGGAGTGATATGTAAATAGTTCAGACAGGGGAGGGTTTTGTGCGCTCGCCTTTTTACACCATGTGCGTTTGATAAACAAAGAATAGTAAACTAGATACATACTGTAATTTTGATGTCATCAGGATCGCAAGTCTCGATCTTTCTTGTGAAGGTGAGAATAGTACTATCGTCTGTCTCGGCGCCGTGTTCCAAAAACCAGTCCTGAAATTTGTCCACTACAGGTGCAGAGTACCCAGCAGTGTGACAGTCCTGTGGGGCAAAAGTGTTACCTTAATACTATTATCCTTCATTAAAGCTGAACTAATGCCAATAAAGTTTATTGAATGCCTTATTGGGCATCACGTCGTATGAGAGAGAGCTTCCATTGGTATGCAAACAGATCTCAGCAATTTCAACGAAAGAATTTATAATGTTGACAAAACTTATATTTCTTCTTGTGATGTGAAGAACACGTTAGTTAATATGCATGTTGATAGTGCTATCGCTGATTCAGTTATCAAGAGCTAGCGCGTGTACCTCTTGTCAAAACAAAAAGGTCATTCAATATTCTTAAACAAAACACTCCGCGTCGCCATTTTAAACATTTACAAGGTGGACATGTTTAACAGATGTTTTTGTGCCAGTGTTAAATGTTAAAATCGAATCATTTCTACAAATATTCCAGTACGTATGCAATCACTTGTTCCTAAAATCATTCAGATTCTGGTCGCTTTGTGGTGACAAATAAATATGAAGAATTGAAAGATTCTCTTAAAAACAAATCTGTGATGAAACCATCGTAGAAAATGAAATTTTATATCTAAAATTGTTAAAGGAAAACAACCTTGTCAGGCAAAAGCGGACTTGTGTTCAAAGCAACGTTTTCTCACTTTCTTTACGCGTTCCAGCTATCGCTATAGACATAGAATAAATATAGAATATCCTCTACATGTATCAAGGGAAGTCGTGCATGGGAGCTGGTACATCAATAATTACCTTCAGGAACGCATTTCCGTCTTTAACCCATCCGATGACTACATCTGCAGGAAACATGCCACCTGTTCGAGAAAGTCCAAAGCCGACATATCCATGGGTCTTGACGTGGGTCTGAAACGTTATGTGGGTGTCATTTGAACGCCAATATAGGACGTAATTACCATCGTCATCCAACTGCTTCCTATGTTCATACGCAAGAGAGGATGACGAGTGACCATTTACCGTTCCTGTGGAAGAGACCGGTACGCTTCTAGGCGAGGATTTTGCACCATTTTCCGGCGATGGAGTCACTACATTGTTTTGAATTCGAATGCGATTCATTATATTGTTCCAATATGGAGGTAGAAAAACATTACTTTGTGAGCACATCACAAATGAAAAGCACAAAGCTACCTGCAAAATGCGTTCATACGCCATTTTTACATATATAAGAAAGATTCACTTTCAGTGTGGTTGTGCTCGGCAAGCGTCTGCCACACAGATATTATGGTTTTCCGGCTGTGATTTTAAAGGTCAGTGATGACCATACATAACCATGTTTCTAAGGGCTGGAGATATTTCTTGTGGTGGTCAAGGTAGCATTTCATGGTGGTCACTTTAATTTGACCGTCAGTACAAAGTGGCCTAAATATGTTAACCACGTACACAGTTTTATTTTATGTTACGGTCAGGCCTCGGTTTGCCCTATGGTGTTTTTTGTATGCAATCTGTAGACTAAGAAATTTTCTAACGAGAGGGAGAGGGGGGATATATACACGGTATTTATTTTTCTATCTATCTCGGCAATAACTCGCTTACAGAGAGCGTCATCTGTGCAAAAAGCCAGAACTGAGATGGAAGGTTACGTGGTTTCCAACTCAAAGACCTTATATTATTTAACGTAAATATTTAATGGATGATATAATGAAATACGGAACGTCTTTCAATTTGTTATCCAGTTTTGAGAATGAAACAGATCAAACGAAAGTAAATTCTAATTTTTTGTTTGATTCCTCATTCTTTTCATACTGACACAAAGTTCTGCATCTTATCTCTGCACAATGGGGGTCATAAATATGTCTAGGTGTAGACACGAATGTAACTGTGTCTGGAGAAATTGGAAATTAACTTCTACTGTATATACATAACGGAGTAAAGATTAGGGTCGACATAACAAACTAGATGTCGCTATGAGATACACTTGTATGAAAACAGACAAACTGATTTTGTTTTATTTTCGTTCAATATAAATATAAACATGCTGGTCATTTATTCCGAGGAAAAAATACAAATATCATATAACATTGTAACGACATTTAAAATTGTATAAAAAACACATTAATGAACAACACCTTTTACCGCTAAATTAAAATGAGATACAGATGAGCCAAACACTGAATTAAATTACATCATATGACTGTGTCGTCCTCCTAGGACTTTTCAGAAATGATAAGTTGAAACCTAGGTTGTTACTCAAGAAAATTTAATGTTATGGAAAGAAATATCAGATATCTAGATTTGGAGATGCACTAGCTCAATCAATTTAGTAATGTTTTATATCTGGTAATTTCAGGAAAAGTCAAGTACCTGAATATATTCCAATAAATCAGAACATAGCACCACCAGCAGTGCCTGCCACCTAAAATCTCGAAGATATGTGTAAAATGAACAAACTCTTTCGATTTCAGATTTGTTTTCTGGTTGTTGTATAACCTTTTGAATTATTTGATAAAGGTTTGTCAATCGCCTTTAATCCCCTACAAGTTTGCCATTAAAACAAAGGTTTTTGTTATGTAAGTTTGTAAACATCAAACACAATCTTTCAGTATGTAATGATTCATTCATAATATTTCACATAACATTTACAGATAGCTGAGTGTTTAATAAACAAATGATATTGAATCGTCGATTAGACAGTACGAGATCTCCACTTGTAACATAATAGATTAATTATCCTAGGAATTAAATCATTTTACTAATACAAGATTAGATATTAGCTCTTTGGATTTAGCTTTTATACAAGGAAATTGATTGTTGATTCAAAATATGCCAATCATAACATCAAATGTTTGCGTGTGCTTGAACTTTCAACCAAACGACATAACATTATCTGACTTAGAAAGGCTATCATGTGCTTGGATGGTACACGTATCACATTGTGGAGCCCAGAGTGAGAACAAAATGGAAAACTTCTGCAGAAATCTACAGATAATTACATTTCCGGCCGCTGTGATCATCTCAAAGCTCCCATTCAAAGAAATAAAAAGTTAGTGAACTCTATTGAAAATATCATAGATATTTTTGCTTTTTGAGAATATTTTTGTTAATTACAACAGTTGTTTGTTTTTCCTAACATATTATCACTCCCCTTATTCCAACCCTGTAGTGAGAGGGTAAGTGAATTAATCCTTATTTTCCTTGCTTGGATTATATATCGATATAGCGGACTTCCAGACCACAGATAAACTTTAATCTTTGAAAATGGAACTTAATTTTGAAGCAAGACGCTTTCTTCTTATCTGCTTTCGTGTTGAAATCTAACAATATTAAACACTTTGAAAATCTCAAGGGAAATAGATCTAACGAGAGCGTCCATTCAGTCTGAAACACGTAACATGGTACAAGGCACAAAAGCAGGTGCTCTAATAGAAATGTTTTCAAAAGTCGAAAAGGTTAAATATCATAAATAGCTTTAGAAAGAGTTATACAACTGTTGCTGTATGATAAACGTGATAATTTCGATTTCCCTATTGTGACCATTCCGTTTCTATATCGTGGTACACTGCTTCTTTAGCATGTGACGTATGTTTAACTTGGTTTCATATTTTGAGATTTGTTCTAAATATGACGACTTTCTTGAAAGATAATAATATTTAACGCCGTAACATTGACAGATAGTAAAATACGCTACTTTTTCTGGGACATCTGACTTTTTGTTGCAGTTTACCTATTGTTTGTGAAAGTTTTCAAATATGAATAAAACAAAATCAGGATTTTCTTCTATCAAATCCCAGTAGATGAGAGATATGCCTATTGAATATTTTGGCGCCAAATTTGCCTTGAAACACTTTTTATTTCATTTTCAGTTTCCTATTTTAAGTGTACTTTTTAAGTTGAATTTAAGTTTTTTAGCGATGCTCCGTTACTTTTTTGTCGGTGTAATCGTTCTCAGACATTCATCCTCCAGTTACAAGATCTATGATAATATCTAATAGGTTTAATATAATATATGTACCAAAATAGAAATAGGAATGTCTGAGCAATTTAACATATAGATTACAGTAATACTGATATGTTTTGTGTTTTCAATATACTGCATTTGTTTTTACACCTAAAGTGACGTCATCGTAGACAAAACCTTGATAAAATATTAACTTATTTTTTCTAAGCTAAATACTTGAGTGTTAGTGACGTTTTGTAGCTTTCATTGGGATATGAACACCTTTTTTTCTCCGCATAGCCGTATATATTTGATAATGTGGTGAAGCTGGCGATTAAGGCTTTAAGTGATAGCCGGTATGTTGGTTCCAATAACACTATAAATCATGAAGTTTGGTATTATATTCAGTGAAAAGAAAATATATTTAAATATATTACGGGTAAGTTGTATGATGTTTCTTTGTATGCGCCAGCGAATATATTATCTATCAGCATAGTTTTCTGATATTTATATGCATATTTTTTCTGATTTATAGAGGGGTCGCAGTGACTTTTCTATTTTTTTTTTTTTTTTTTTTGTAACCTCGGATGAAAGTACGAAGTTCGGTGGTTCGACGCTTCCTGCCCGAGGTTTCCATTTCAACGGAAGATGAAAAACGGGTCGGTCTGTAAGGTCATGGTTGTTGTCTTTTTTCCAGGACATTTTATCGTAATTGCACTAGATGGAATGTAACTGGCTTCCCGTATCTTGTTCAATGAGAAAGCAACCAGCTACTTCAAGACTACTGTGGCTCAGAATGACTCTGGTTATTCACTTGGCGAAATAAAAAAAAAGCAAAGAATGCACGATTTACCCTAACAAAGCTTACATATTCGTTCACTGATAATTCAATTAAGAGATAAAACACACATATGGCATGATTTTAATATTTTAATAAACTTGCAACTCCCATGGTTATAAGGTATCAAGTGAACTACAACTACAGATAATGGATAGATAAAAGCTTAAATATACACATAACACAGTCTTTATACACATTGACATGTCAACTAGGACACTGTACTGACATTAGTTTAATATTGGAAGAAATTTTGTTGGCATCACGCAACAACAAATATGATTTTTCAATCGTCAATAATTACAGGACTGTGAATTTATCTATTTCATTCATTCTTTAAATTTTGTGTGAAAAGGTAATATGCGGAAATTGAAACTAATGGTATTTTACATTTAGTCTGAACATTCGGCTAGTACATGTATCAGCAATATAAAATGTTTGTACACATGATTGTACAGAAGACACAAAAGATTGACACCAATTACCTCTTTCTCTAGACAGCTATGTATATGTTTTAACTGGAGAGAATTTTCTTTGTCTCACCTTAGGATGACAATGACGCCATATCAACAATGTTAAACATTGACAATTAATTACTCCCATGAGGATGAGATAGGGAGGAAGCTGCAAACACTCGGCAAATGTCATTTTTTTTCCAACACAGTAATATTCCTGTTTTGGGAGTAAAAAATTCTAATAATTAAAATCGTCCGAGAAAAAAATGCTGACAAGAAGTAACCTCCGGATTAAGTTTTTTTTTTTTTATATAGAAAAGCTTTGAATTAAAAAGGACATGAATTTCAAACTTTGTGTATGAGTGTGTTTGTGTGTGTGGTGGTGGTGGTGGTGTGTGTGTGCGTGTGGGAGGGTGTGTGTGTGTGTGTGAGTGTGTGTGGGTATGTGTGTGGGTGTGTGTGTGTGGGGGGGGGGGGTGTTTGTGGGGTGTGTGTGTGTATGTGAGTGGGTGTGTGTATGTATGTATGTGTGTGAAGTTGATAAGTAACATTTTTTTTTAAACGCATACATATGGTTCCATGTCCTATGTTCTAAACCAAACCCAGGGTCGCTGCAACTTAACATGGTTGGTGACAGTAAGGATAATCATATCTACACCATGTCGCAAAATGTTCACAGTTGTATTTCCCAAGATTATACTTAAGATCCCGGGGTATACAACTAAGTGCTCTCTCGGCGATCTTCTCCCCAGGAAGAGGCCTGGAAATGAAAAAGATATCTAATTAATATGACAGTGATATACATGAAAATACTGCAAATAGTTGAAGTGTGTATATATAACATGATTCTTTACTATTCGGAAACCAGAGCGCTGAACTAAAAACTAAAACAAGCCTCAATTCATTTCACTGAAAATGTTTAAACGGTAATCCTCGTACAACAGGATACATGCATTATTTCAGCTGAATATTTGTGTACCAATCA